TTATAGACAGTGGGTGTTGTTTAGGTCTTGTTTTTTTATCCATTCAGCTACTCTATGTCTTTAGACTGGAGCATTTAATCCATTCACATTTAAGTGATTATTGATAGGTACGTGGTTATTGCTATTTTATTATTCATATTTATATTCTTTCCCCCCTTTTTCTTCTTAAAGAAGTACCTTTAACATTTCTTCTAATACTGATTTGGTAGTGATAACTCCTTTACCTTTTTCTTGTGTGGGAAGCTCTTTATCTCCTATTTCAATTCTAAAGGATAGCCTTTATGGGTAGAGTAGTCTTGGCTGTAGGTCCTTGCTTTTCATCACTTTGAATATTGTGTGGTAATCCCTTCTTGCCTGCAAAGTTTCTGTTGAGAAATCAGCTGACAGTCTTTTCTTTTTTCACTTTTAAAATTTATTTATTTTAGTGAGAGAGAGGCAGAGGAAGAAACAGCGATTTATTGTCCCACTTATTTATGCATGCATTTGTTGATTCTTGTATGTGCCCTGACCAGGGATTGAACCTGCAACCTTGGTGTATGGGGAGGATGCTCTAACCAACTGAGCTACCCAGCCAGGGCTCAGCTGAGAGTCTTATGAGAGTTCCCCTGTAGGTAACTGTCTTTCTCTTGCTGCTTTTAAGATTCTATCTTTGTCTTTAAACTTTGGCACTTTGATTGTTATGTATCTTGTTATGGGCCTCTTTGGGTTTATTTTGTTTGAGACTCTCTGAGCTTCCTAGACTTTTATGTCTATTTCCTTCGCCAAGTTAGGGAAGTTTTAAGCTATAATTTCTTCAAACAGGTTTTCAATTCCTTGCTCTCTTTTCTCCTCCTGGTACCCTTGTGATGTGAATGTTGAAATGGTTGATGTTGTCCCAGAGGTCTCTTAAACTGCCCTTATTTTTAAAAATTCTGTTTTCTTTTTGCTGTTTCAGTTGGGTGTTTTTCTCTATTTTGTCTTCCAAATCGCTGATTTGATCCTCTTCTTCATGTAACCTGCTATTTGATTCCTTCTAGTGTACTTTTCATTTTTGACTGGTTCTTTTTTATGGTGTGTATGAACTTGTTTATGCTATTTATACTATCTCTTTGCTGAAGTTCTCACTTAGTTCATCTATTCTTCCTCTAAGTTCATTGAGCATCCTTATAGCCGGTGTTTTCAACTCTGCATCTGGTAGCTTAGTGGCCTCCATTTCATTCTTTTTCTGGAATTTTCTCCTGTTCTTTCCTTTGAGGCATGTTTCTTTGTCTCCTCATCTTGGCTGCCTCTCTGTGTTGTTTCTATGTATTAGTTAGATTTTCTATGTCTCCCAGTCTTGGCAAGGCGGCCTTATGTAATAGGTGACCTGTAGGGCCCAGTGGAGCAGTCTGCCTGGTCACCTGAGCTGGGTGCTCTAGGAGTGCCCTTGTGTGGGGTGAGTGTGCCCTCCTGTTATAGTTGAGTAGGCATGTCTGAGTAGGGTAGTCTGAGTAGGGTTGACCCTCAGGCTGACTGGCCACAACCACAGAGCAGGATTCACCCCAAAAGGGCTCTGGTGCTTGCTGAGACTTCCCTTTGGGGGTGCCTTTCGTGGAGATAATCAGGGGTGCTCTGTTGTGGTCTGGAGGCAGCCACTGAGGGTGTTGGTGCTGGGGCCTCTTTGGAGGGTCTCCGGTGCAACCCCGGGTCAGCGGCTGCCTCGGCCTGGCCCCCGGCCACCCGGCAGGAGCTACCAAGATGTCCGAGGTTGGGAGCTGCCTCTGTTGGTCTTGGAGGTGCTTGGGAGGGGTCACGGGAGGGGTCACGCTACAAACTGATGCCAGCTACCACCAGTGCCGGCCGGGTGCTCAGCAGGAGGCACAGGGCAAGCTGAGGCCAGCTGCCACCTGCCCGGGGCCTCTGGACCTTTGAGAGTTTGTAGGAAAGTCTGTAGCACAGGCCAAAGCTGGCTGCCTGGAAAAACAGCCCTTGAAAGTGGCCCCGGTGATGTGCTGAAGTGTGCTTTTTAAAAGGTTTGAATTTGGGCCCTAACTGGTTTGGCTCAGCGGATAGAGCGTCGGCCTGCAGACTGAAGGGTCCCAGGTTCAATTCCAGTCAAGGGCATGTACCTTGGTTGCTGGCACATCCCCAGTGGGGAGTGTGCAGGAGGCAGCCGAATCAATGTTTCTAACTCTCTATCCCTCTCCCTTCCTCTCTCTAAAAAAAATCAATAAAATATTTTTTTAAAAAGTTTGAATTTTGTACTTTAATATTTCAGGTTTCTTTACTAAAATTGGAATATCTGATTACTCAGGGCTCCAGCTTCACTCTGCTTTTTGTGTTGATTGTCTGGCCCTTTTG